GGTTTCCAATAGTTTGGTCAAAACCTTGACAAGTTTGATACCATGGAGTAGCTACATGTGCTTCATGAGTGAGTATCAAGTGGAGCACACAATGCAATCAGTTTTTAGTGAGCGACCTAATCCAAGGTGATATAATGATTTTCCACAATGCAATCTTGTGGTAGTTACATAATTTCCTGTCAATTTGAAGATATAAAAGTGAAGGGATGGGCTGTGATAGTTTGGTGTTTTGTGCCAACATGGCTTCCTTAGGAACATGTGGGTGGAGTTAAGCCTGTCTTCAATCAGGTCACCGCTTGATTAGGAGGCGACTGAGATAAATGGCTCTTTGAGGCCAGCCTCTTCCTCTTTCACCCGGAGGCCGGCCATGCACTCTCTCTCTGCTTCACCTTCCTGCTGACAAGCCACTTTGAGCCACGCTGATAGCAGCCAGAGTCCCAGAGATGCATCCACCACCATTGGATCTTTAAGACTTTGCACCCACTGGCCTGTGATCTTCCTGCATTCTGCATCATTATGTCTGGCTGTGTGAGTCTTAAGAGGGATTTATGGACTAGTATCGGACTTAGGGAGTAGAACTGGACTTATGCACTTATCTGGACTGGGCTGGGATGTTTGCTTGATATATAATTACTTCTTGATATAAAGCTCTCTCTTGCACATATATGAGTGTCCCTGGATTTTTTTTCTCTAGTAAACCCAGTCTAATACAAATCACATGTAGTCAATAATTCAATTGAAGACCTAACAGTAGGGAAGAATGGGTTTTCAATCTGATAATTTTTAAATTATAAAACCAGAATACACACACACCATATATAATCTACAAGCAAAGGAATGCCAAGAATGACTGGCAGACATCAGAAACTAAAAGAGAGGCTCCAGAGGAATCAACACAGCTGAGACCCTAATTTGAACACCTAACCTATGGAATAGTTGAAAATACATTTCTGTTCTTTAAAACCATTCATGTGTGGGATTTGTGCTACAGCAGCACCACGCAACTAAGACAACTGTGTCCGGACTTTATTGTGTAATGAAGTACTGGAGCGATGGTTTCTTACATAAATTACAGATTATAAAAGAAGTCGTGTACCCCAACAGCCAGGGCACTCACCTGTCCAGCAGTAAGTTAGGAGCAAACAGGAGCTTTCCTGGGTGTTCCATTGAGCGCCAGACGAGGCCGATCATCAGAATCTCCAGCCAGGCACATTCCAGAAGGTGGACTTGATCATGGAGGGTCAAATCTACAAAACCTGGAACAAGAGAAAGAAAACTCTGCTCACTTAAATTATTGGTGAAACTAATGCAAAACAGGATTTGGGCTGGTAGCGTCAATGTCTCACTAGGTGGAATAAAGTGTAACTGGAACACTATTAACATGGAGCATGCTAGATGGTGAAATCAAATAATAATTTTTTCGTCATACCTATATCATAGCTTTATAGCTATGCTAGCTATATAGCAATAACATAGCTATAGCAATGACTCTTAATACAGCATTGACTTTATTACCCCTTCATGTCACATCTAAAAACAATGCATTAATGTATACAATCCACTAAGCTTTTTGAACTTCTCTAGTTGTGTTGTTGTTGTTAGGTGCGATCGGTCAGTTCTGACTCATAGCAGAATGAAACGCTGCCCAGTTCCGTGCCATCCTCACAATTGTTCCTATTTTGAGCTCAACAATATGGCCACTGTGTCAATCCATCTTGTTGAAGGGCTTCCTCTTTTTCTCTCTTCCTCTACTTCACCTGAATGAGGTACTTCTCCGGAGAATGGTCTCTCCTGACAACATGTCCAAAGTATGTGAGACCAAGTCTCACCATTATTGCCCTACATACATGGTGTTAAAACCTGTATTCTTCCTATTTGGACATTTCTAAGAACCAACTGTGGGTGAAGAAGAAAGTCAATAAAAATAGAGTGACCCTGAATAGGATGGGTTGACACAGGCGTCACATACATCAGGCTAGCATGAGCCAGAGATGACCCAACTATAATAACCACATGTGGCTATTATTATTCACTTTTGTTTCAGCTAAAAGTATATAAGATTCAAGGAATTTATTTCTTTTATTGATTTATTTTTTAATCATTTTATTGGGGGCTCATACAACTCTTATCACAATCCATACATCCATCCATTGTGTCAAGCACATTTGTACATATGTTGCCATCATCATTCTCAAAATATTTGCTTTCTACTTGAGCCCTTGGTATCAGCTCCTCATTTTTCCCCTCCTTCCCCAACCCTCCCTCATGAACCCTGGATAACTTATAAATTATTATTATTTTGTCATGTCTTACACAGTCTGATGTCTCCCTTTACTCACTTTTCTGGAGCTGAAAGGTCTTAAGAAAATGTTAATTCGCTGAGGTTTCAATTAATATTTGGGGACAATTCCTCAATGAGTCCTGCCAATTTCCAGTGTGACTGGACCTCATTTTCAGATGGCATACCATTTGTTTCTCTCCTCTCCTAATGCTCACTGCTTCACATGAGGGAGAAATGGAATTATGGGATAAACATCAACCATTATCAACACCCTACCCAGAAAAACCTCAAACAATTACACAGGATGGAACTGGGGGCCAGAGCTGGGGGTTGCCCTGTGGACTTAGAAGTGGTTTGGCGATCAGGAACCACAGCTGGCCGTGTAACCAGCCCATTTTGGGAAAACGGAGGGGCAACGCTTTCGGGTGGCAACTTTATATGTTCAACTGAACCATGCTTTCTAACTCCAGGACTATTCAATCCTGACAGCTTTAGTAGCCTTTGGGGAGCTTAAGAATCCGAGCACAGCTATTTCTACAACACAGGCATGGTGATTATGAAATCTGTCCGGACTATGTCTGTTAGTAATAATTCTCAGTCTGAGTCCAGCAGGACTGCTGGGGCCTGGCTTTTCTCTCTCTCTCTCTCTCTCTGTCTCTCTTTAAAATGTGGTAGGTCTTTGAGCAAGACACAGCCGAGGAATTCTCTCTCCCATATTGCTCACAGACAAGGGTTATTATATCTATTGCCCAGGAAGGACCTTTGGCAAATTCTCTGGGCAGGGTTTGGGGTAGTGTGGAGAGAAGGCTGTCCACCAACGTTTTCATCGATGGGCATCGTTCGTTAGTTGACAGGTCTCCTTTCTTACAAAGTACTCATCTCAATGTTATTAACCACACAGGTACAACACCCAGTTTCTGGGTGTTGAATAAACACCCATTACGACTTCCAGTCAATAACTAGTGGGCAAAACTGATAGAATATACCTCAAACGAAAGCATCCTATGAAAACTCTGTAGAACCATCCAGTTTCTTTAAAAACAAAAACATCCAGCTTCTGTCCTTCTGGTGTGGTTGTTACTTAATGTGCTCAAACAGAAGCATCACACAGGGGTGGCCACAAAGAGCAGAAATTCATTTTCCCAGTTTGGAGGCTCGGAGGCAGAATTCGGGACACCAGCTCTGGGGCACGCGTTCTACTCTCCTACAATGTTTTGTTTGCTTTTGTTTTCAATGTTTCCTCCCTTACACTTTAACCGCTCAGGGCTGTCAAAGGAACTTAGAGCACAACCAGCCTACTTTGCTAGTGACTGATAGACACGTTGCTTCATTTGTCTGAGGAGCCCTGGTGGGCTGCAATCTGCACGGTCAGAACTTCGAAACCACCAGCAGCTCTGGGGGAGAAAGATTGGGCTTTCTACTCCCAAACCATCACAGTCTCGGCAACCCACCCGGGGTCTCTAGGAGTCAGCATCCACTCCACGGCGGCAGTGACTTTGGTTGTTTGGCTTTCGGTTGCCTTGGCCTAGAGGTTTACTTTGTCAAGTCTTGTCCCCACACTGGGTGCAGCGAGACTCTGTGGAGCCATGCTGAAGCCTGTGCAGACATCCTCAGGGAACGCGACTCATCCAGTACAACGTCCCACACTGCTTCAGAGCCAAAGCTAAGTCAAGGTGGCCCTTTGGGAAAGTAATCCAAAAAATTAAACAAATGCAACAGCCTGTCTTATTCCTGAGGGATGCAATCTATGGAGATGTAAAGTAAAACCCTATGAAAGCACTCTTGTGCGTGCGTGCGCGCCCATAATCACACACACGCACGCGCGCACGCACGCACGCACGCACCACGAAAGCGCCTTTTCTCTGGAGGGCATCACCTACAAAACTTGAAGCCAGATGGCTGATTCTCTTCATAAATCCACTAGGACAAAAATACTGGTTTCCTGACCTTCAAAAAATTAATCATGCTCTAAGTCATAGAATGACCCCAATGTGCTCCAAAATGTCAATTACGAAACTGCTGGCCGCATTTTTCTTTATTGCTTTACTATTTAATGGACAGAGATTTAAATAATTCATCCCCTTGACCCTTGATGGCAAATACTCGATGCAAAGGTACAATTAAATTTTTTTTTTCATCTTAAATAAGAAATCCTGACCAGTGAGGTTCTGATACAATGACACTTTCATGCTGAACCAAACCTGGCATTGGTGGGAGAAACTTATAGAACATAGGTCCCAAGTCAAATGCTAAGCAATGTAGACATTTTCATTTTATTTTTTTTTCTTTAAAAAAGAGTCATTTAATGCCAATCAATCGGCCTTGTACCTCTTGGGCTAGTCGAGTATGATTTCTCTGTCTGCCCTTACAAACAAACAAACGAATCCCTCCTCAGACTCCTTTCCTCTGAGTCCTGTGTCCTGTGAGAGCCTCACAGACTTTTCTGGAAGCAAAGAGTAGCCCTCCTTCTCAGACCTGATGACTAGCTCTTTCTAACACACTTGGCAACATGAGGCACCTTGGTTATCATGAGTAGAGGAGAGTGGAAGCAAGGACAAACAGAGGAATCAAAAAGGTCAAGTGGACCTGAGTGGACCTGAGTTGAACTTCCTCTGTGAGCTGGTGCCAATTATCTTATGGCTTCTCAGAGTTTCCCAGCTGTCAACTGCAGGTGAACAGACCTATCACTTGCAATTCTTGGAAAAGGCTAAGGAGTTTGGCAATACCTCAGAGGTCCATAGTAGCTAGCTCCGCAGTGGCTATTTCTCGTCTTCTCTAGTTTATCTCAATAGGCTTACAGCTTCTGCATTGAGAAAAGGGCACTACTTTCTCAAGGCCCCCAGAGAAATATTTTTGGTTAGAGCTTCCAACTCACATTGGGACTTGAGTGTTTTCCCGAAGTCATGATGTCATCTCATATCTTCTGTTTATTTTTTATTTCTATATAGAAACAACCCAATAAAAAAGTTAAAAGACTTCTTGGACATCAAACAGCTCTTAACAAACTTTTTTTTTTCTTGATTTAAAAGCAAGGGAATAAAAGCATGTGGTGTGTATGTCTCCTGAAATACATATACCAAAAAAGGCGAAAAGAAAGTTCATTGGGCTTTTATTATGCTCAGAGCATTTCAAAATGTGTAGCAAATCCAGGATGCCACTGTATTTGTCCATCCCCAGTGTGAACGTTTTACTCTTGAACTCAGCAGCCTCACCCCTGGTGTCCACTGCTCCTTATCTGCCACAGGCAATAGAGAACAGAACTGACCTTGAGAACAACCTGATGGCCTCTAGGCAAATGCTCAACCATAAAAAGCACAGGCAAGTGAAGAACTATTTGGGACTAATTGGGACATTGATATTTTAGAGACATGACACCATTAGCATAGCTCGGTGTTTCCCAGATCCCCTGTTGATTTCCTGGAATGATCCAGGGGTCCTTGAGACAGATACCTTCACTTTGTCTTGGATTTTGGAGTATATAGTACAAAAGGTTTTAATTGCCGGGGGGTGCTGAGTAATTTTTTTAAGGGGACAATAGGCCAAATAAGTTTGAGAATTTATGATTATAGACTTCTCACTGAAAAAGGAAATCCAAAGGTAGAATTGATATCCAGTTTGCGCAATGGTTTTAAAGTTGCAAATCCCACTCCAGACATAGTCTCAAGGAATCACATTCCTTAAAATGCTCCCTTGAAAAATGATTAGACTTTAGCCAAAGGGGTGAGTTTGGATTCTGCTTCCTAAGTTTCCTAGCAGTTTATCCCTCTGATGGACATCGGCCAATGTTTCTTGTTGAGTCTCTGTGTGTGTGTGCATGTATGTGTGTGGATAATAAATTGCTGTCATATTTTAAACATCCACCAGTATTAGATGATGTTTATATCTCAACATTTAGAAAACAGAAACGGTGAGTAGAAATAAATTACCTCTGATCTAGAGAGACAATTATGAACTTTTTTTTCTAGAGAGAAAAGT